AAGTCAACTTTCACTCTAATTATCCAGTAGCTCTGTACTCATGCAGCTATGGTGTCACATCCAAAAAAAAAAAAAAATTAAATACAGGTAATGTTAAAATATATATACACACACAGAGAGTAAGTTGACAAATGAAAAAAATGTGACAATGTAAAAGCCCTGTAACAAATCTTGTTATTTAATGATCAGTTTAACAATTAAGTGGTCATACATATGTATATATGTGCTGTCACAGTAAATACTGTTTAATTTTAGTCTCTTAATCCTTTGGCCTCTTACACAGAAGTTTGTATTACATCTGCTAATGGTAGTATTGCAAATACTAAACTCTCATGGTGCCTTTTTTTGGGAGTGCTTGGTATTGCACCAAAGGGTGCAGGAGATGATTGTTATATGATGCCAGTTTATTCTCTCAGCTGTATGATGAAGGTACAGTTCTCAAGATGCAGGCTGGCTGCTTGTTGGTGGTGACATGCTTTGAGGAATTGTTTCTTTGAGAGTAGTCAGCCAGTGGAGAGTACAGGGCTGAATCTACCTGTAATGCACATTCTGTATATAAAGGAATATATGGTCCTATATTCAGGCCTTAAGCAGAAGTAAATGAAGAGTACACTTGCTTCCAGTCTTCCTGAAATACCCTGTTCTGTGCAACCAGCACAGCTCTGAAACAGCCTGCCAGTTGCTTTTGCTGCCTTTGCCTGCTGCATCTAGAGTGCAACATCAACTACTCTCTCTTCTGCTTCTCCCATATCCTTTATTACAAAGCACAGGCACTAGCTGTAGTAGCATTCATGTGGGTCTCAAGTACACAAAAACAGAATTAACAGTTTTTTCTTCCTTTACAGAGCAGGGAGGTTCATTATAGAAGAATCAGCTTGATTAGCTCACTGTTTTTCATGTGCTTGTTTGTTTGCATGATATGAAGGCTTTTTCTATGAATGGGAGGAATGTTTAGCATCTGATTTTACTGAATGGAAAAGATTTCCCATCTGTATAATTAGCCTTATTTATATGATTAGAGTTTATCCACTGATTGCTTGGTTTGTTTTTTTTTTTTAGTTTGCCTTCCCTGTATGTAGAATATTCATGTCAGGAAGTCAGAGATGGAACAAGATTGTTGTTTCTCTGTTTTTCATGTCTCTGCAAGGAATACATTTGCCACTGAAGTGCTGAATTGTTGAACATTATCTAAACACCACTTAATGTCAGCATATTTTCCTGAGTGACATGATGATGAATTCTGGAGAAAAAAATGTCTTAGTGAAATTCTATCAAATAAATAATCTAGTTGTGCCAAGAAATCAGATAATGACCTCAAGACATAACAGCTGCCAAGTATACTGCTTAATATTAGCCACTCTGAGGTATCAAAATGGTGTACAGGGAAAACTGCAAGGCCTACTTTCTCTAGCACTTTTAATGTATCTTTTCTAAATCTAATTCTTTATGTGTAAATGAGCCTGTCTTTTACCAAGTGGCATGTATTATGCTCAACATTGCTCTTTGTCTGTCTCTCAGCGTGGTAAGGACAGTGGTGCACCTCGTATGTATTAGAATTTATTCAATTATCCAGTAAAATTAAATTTATGTGAACATGCAGGTGAGTGAGAGCATCAGACTCAGTCGAAAAAACAGTCCAAACTTGAATGTCATCTAGATAATTTACCAGGCTCAAATGTGAAGGAATTAATAATGAACTTGTCTTTTTTTTTTTAATAGAGATTTTAAAGACTGTCTAGGTTATCTAAGAATAGCAGTGGAATTATGATTATTAGAAAGAGCAGTATAGGGTCATTTCTTGTTAATCCATAAGCAGTCCTGTCAAGTAAAAGTACTCACAAGATTAGTACACTGCAATCTACTAAGCTTAAGGTTGCTTTCTTCTCTCAGAGGAACTAGCTCTCTAAAGCTTCACCATGTGCTAACCTTCATCCTTTATAATGCTTTGTTATAAACCCTGTAAAATGGAAAATACACAGGAGTAGTAAAAACTTCGGGTGAAAAAGTTCTGCTCAGTGATGTTATTTCTGATGCTGTAACACAGCAGTGAAAGCAGGATTAATGGTCAGGTGTTTACAGGATTTTCCTGAGGAGTGATGAAAGTAGTTTTGATGCAGTAACTAAAAATCAGTCATTGATACAGCTGTATGGCAATGGTAATAAATAATGTTGTTATAGAATGCATAAATCATATTACTTCTATATTGTGGTTTGATTTACATAGCTATAAACTCCCTCCCTTACTCTTCGAATAAAAGCACATCTACTTTGCACACATCCCTCTTGTTGTTTAAGGTGGTGTAATAATGATCTATTAATATCATGACTTGTTTTCCACGTAAGTGGATATGATCACTACCAGCCATTACCAGTTTTTAAATGCCTCTAGATTTGGATTTTCCACTACTTTTTATAGCCTCATATGTCAAATATATTTCCTCATACTCATTTTTTTCATTCTATAAAAGCTCAGGTTGAGGTGCTACCCCAGTTGTCATTATTTCTTGGTAATTCTTTAGAGAAATTCTTAAGCTTTAGTAAATTCATCCAGTAGGATATGGTTGGCCACAGAGAACTATTTGAGAAAATTCTGATATTTCAGGCATCCTCATAGAAACTGTCAGAACTGTCATTAAATCATAACTCTCCCTGGAGTGTGTCTCTATTTCTTAAGGGCCTCTGAGATGAGCCTTTCTGTTTTACTAGAGTGAAACTTTTCTTTTACAGCAGACAGCTCCTGAGTGGCACATCTAGCTGCAGTGATGTGTTTTTCTTCATTAATGCCAGTAGTATTAACAGCATTGGATTGAATTAAGCTTTACTAAGACTGTAGCAGTTAGGGAGGATCTTCAGATGCTTTCCTCCAAAATACTACAGAAGAGAATAATTTGATTTTTTTTTTTTTTTTAAGTCTAATACTTAAGAACTCACACAGAAAACTTCATTGCTGTCACCGAGTTAACCATCCACACATCACACAGAACTGTGAAATAAAAAGGCATCATTTTTTCCTCCAAACTCTTCAAAAGCATGGGTGCCTTGAAAAGGTGCTTCAGATTTGGACAAACGTAAGAGACAGACTTAAAGTCCTACAATGGGGGCTCAAATTCAGTATCTTAATTTTAATTACCCTCTCCAGTTAGACTGGGGTGTCATATGAAATATTTTAAACAAAATGGAACACAGTATTTCAGTGAGAAGCGATTGCCCTTACAATTCTGTCACTCTCAGTATGAGTAGTGCTGTGGATAGTTGTATGACAATAGTATATTGCAAGAAAAGATTGTTTTTCCCATGATAGAACAACCTTGGAAGGAATTATGGCAGCCAGGCTGCTGAACAGCTGATAATGCAGCTACAGATGTGTTACTCCAGGTACCTATTACAAGAACACATAGAAGACCATGTATTGTGAGGCTGATGTGTAAGCTAGTATAGCAGATGGAGCTGTTTCCACAGCTGTAGTAACTAGCCTAGGCATAGTGTTGTCATCCTTGCTACTGTAACTACAGGAGTGGTTTGAATAGTTTTGTCCTGTTGGAGAACTTACTATTTGTATAAATTGAATGTGAATTAAACCTATGGCCACCCTTAATTTACACAGACTTTTACAAAACTGTAGAAATTCCACAGCAGGGCAGACTCCACTCCAAATTCCAGTTCCAAATGGGATATCAGAAATAAGGTTTATTTGAAATAAGGATTATTTGAAAACCAAAACATTTAAAAAACCAGTGATCACTTGAGCACAAATGATTCTGAATTAAATCTTTTGCAAAGACAATGATATAAGTACAGGTTCTGTAAATGGCACAGATCCAGTTGCCTTAGGGCTGAAATTATATTCTTATGTTATCACTAAACAGCAGCTGCAGTCAGTTGAATAAGTGAAAGCCTAGTAGGACCATTCCTTCATCCCCTTTCCAAGGCAGTGTCTTTAGACTTTCTCATTGCCAAGACTAGAGACTTATTCATTTCTTCCCAGCAGATGTACACTGAAGTGCTTATCTCCCCTCTGCCCATTAATAATTTCCATGACTGTTATAAAAGCACTACTCAGGGCACAAGTATAGCCTGTTAAAACAAAGCAACCCTCTCTTCCTGTCACTGCTGTGTTCAGGATGCCTTGAATCTGCTAGTGTATGGTCAAAACACTGCTATCTTTCTAATAGTGAAGAGTATTGATTTACATACCCAGTAAATACCTTGTAGGCATTTTTCCTTCTTTAGTCATTGTTCAATAAAACACAGCTGGACTCAAATAAATTGACATCATAGTCAAGACCTCCTAGCAGCTCCACTCACATCTCCTGGGGTCTTTCTGTAGCCTCCAGGATTTTTGTAAATATTTGTTTTCCTAAAAATAATTACATGATAATATAATTATTTCATTATAATAATTCTCATAATTAATTTTGCTGTGTTTCAAACTTAAAGAAATGAGATAGAACATACCATTATATTAATCTGAGGAGCATATTTTGTATTTCTTCAAATTATGTCTGATTTTTATTTTATTGGTCTTGTTGATATGATCGGTAAACTTCTCAGCCACTTCCAAACTAAAATATTTACTTTTATTGTAAATCAATAAAAACTTAGATGACAGATGAATAGCAAGAAGGGGCAGACACATGGTTTTATGCTATTTTAAAAATTAATGTGTTACATCTAGTTTGCTAATGTGAAACAATATTGATAAGCCTGAAGTATATAGAGGGAAAAATTCATATTGTAAATTCAGTTTCTTGTCTTAGTGTGTAGGCTAGACACTTACCTATTTCCCTTATACTAATAAAGAAGTTCTTTAAGTCTTTTTTCCTTCTTTTACTTTCATTGTCATTTCATGCAGATATAGAACTGTTTTGTACTGGCATAACTGCATGAAAATCTCTTTGGAATAGACGTAATTTAATTTATTCATCAGTATTTTCTGTGTAGTCTTAGAAAGCAGGTTCCTTGGTAACAGTTCACAAGCACTTCTGTTTGTCTTTCTACAGCTTCATGTTTGATGAGTGGAATGGGCCAACCGATGGACTTATAGGAGTAAAGTTTCAGGCAAGCAAATTCTGTAAGGTATGTGAAATATTGACTAAAACACATCTGGTTTTATTTCTCAGAAAGCATATTTTCTCAAAATTAATAGCATTTTGATGATCAAAAAACATTGTAAAAATAAATTATGTGATTACTTAGGATACTTTTAGAAATTGCATTGAAGAGATTCCACTGTACTGTTCCTCAGTATGTATGAAAATAATTTATTTTATTTTAAGTTCTTGCATATAGAGAGTGTTTCAAGGAAAAGTCAGAGGGGGTTATGTCTCTTTGAAGCAGGATGAGTAGTTTTTCTGAAAAAGAACAGAACTCAATTTTGATATTCCATATTCAATACTTCATATCTTCCAGTGTTTTTATGTAAAATAGAGATTTCAGGGGGTTCTCCTGCTACTTTCATAATAGAAGATCTGTTACTTTATGTGAGGAACCCACCCTGTTGTTTCAGATAATTTCTCATGAAATTTCAGTGTTAAAAAACAGCACTCTGCCCCAATTCTTAATCCTCTTCTCTGTTGTGGGTACTGTACATAATAGGAGCAGTTAAATACTTACTTGAGCCAGAGTAATACTGATCTGCAGGAGAGGGTGGAATCAGTTACTGGTTTTACAGTTAGGAAGCACCATTCTTCCACTACATTCTTCTCCATTCTTCCTACTACATTTGACCCTACAGCAACCTAAAAATTTTTCAGTAAAGGCAGCTTGAGACTTTTCAGCAACAGGGGTTAAACTGAATTTTGACATTTTGAGAGTGGGGCAGGGAGAATATAATCTCATTCTCTCATCTTGATTTTAATAAAAGTGCATGGGATAAAATAAGATCACAGTTGAACTGAAATATAAAACCGCTCTTTCTTTAGTATTTCAGGTTTCTTAAACCAAAGCTTTTAAACAGAAAATATCTGACCTATTTTTATGGCAGGAATATATATTTCCAAAGTTTGTTTTGTCACTAGTGATAAGGTATTTAAATCTTTAGTCAAAAAAATTATTCGCTAAATGCCAACTCCATATACATAGATTCTGCCTTTGGAAATGAAAGGGAGCTATCTCTACAGATGTATCTACTCACTCCTGAGAGCATGCCCTATGCAAAGACACTGGACAGCTAAGCACAGAGGTCAGCCTGTCTGGGAGCCTGAGGGTGATAAAAATGAACCATGTCACCTCTGTCTCTGCTTCCCTGCTAATCCTTTTTGCCTATTAAATCACATCTATCACCTCATCACCTCCTTGTGCTCTAAAAGTTTACTTCTCTTTACTGCGTTTTAATCATTTGTTTATCCATTTGAAGAATTTCTTGCTCTATGCCAGCTACTTTTGTAAACATCTTTTGGCTAAGGACTTGACAAATGCCTCTGAGTATATAGATATAGCCTGGATTTCTGTTGTCAGTATGCCTACTGATGCCTTTAAAAAGTATTTTGATAAATAATGAGTCTTAACTTCCTTCACAAAATCTGTTTCTGTCATTTCCAACAAATGTATTTGTCTATAAGGCATTCTATTTTTATAACAGTTTCCACCAATTTGCCTGGCTTTACTGGTCTATGATTGCCTAGTTCTCCTTTGGTATCAAAGCAAATTTAAGCCAGAAGTTTAATGCATTTTGGTGGTTAAATCTTGAGTTTCTTAATTCTACTGGCAGTTACCATGTGATTCTGGTGCTTTGTTACTGCTAATAAAACTGTTTTGAATGTCTTCTGTCATTAAATTTGATTTGAGATAGGCTCTCTAATATACCACTGTAAAGAGATATTCCAACATAGAAGTCTTTCCAATCTCCTCCACCAAAAACACATGCAAGAAATGCATGGTTTTGGTTTGTTGTTTTTTTTTTTTTTTTTTCAGTGGCTTTATCTTCTGTAAACACTTACTCTATATCCTCATAATTTTTTGACCCTACAGATTCTCAACAGGATTTGTTCTTCTGTGGTTTTGATGTCTTTTTAAAGTTGTTCCTCAAACACTTTTTGGGTGTGTCATATATATTACACCTGTCAGAGTTTATGATCCTCTCTGGTTCCTTCGTCTGGACATGAAACCTCTCACTCTGCTGTTTAGCAGCACCAGGTTTCTCTTTTAAGTTTTTAGTAGGCACATTTTATTTGTCTTTGAATATTCTTTATACTGTCTTTAAGAATTTTAGTTTTCGTTTTAAAGAAAAAGCAGGACTGGTCCAGCGCAGTGCTTCCAGCAAAAACAAGAGCTGCTTCCTCTTCTCCAAGTTTCCTGACTGGTCATGAAATAATGGTTCCTGGCAACGTGTCCCTGTACGTTTACCACTGTCTACTGGGTGTAAGTGAAGTTTTCTGCTTGCTATCTTGTTGCATAGTTGATAATGTAATGCTAATAGAATATTTCTCTTCTTTTCCCAGAATACCAGTTCTGTAGGCTCACATCATATTAACCTGACTTAGAGGGCTTAGCTGATTTTTAAACTACTCTTTAACGTATGATGCTACTTACTGCTCAGTGCAGCTTACTCCATCTTTTATATATGCTCTGGCTTTTTTTCAGTGGCTCTGATTGTTTTCTTTTCACTAGGTGTCCCGTATGCTTATTATGTCCATATTTGATATTGATACCATCACTGAAAAGTGTGTAGGCAAGCTGGTCTGGGAGGAAGTCTAGTTCCCCATTGTATTGTTTAGATAGCTGCAGAAAAACACGTAGAAGTTGTTTTTATTACGTTTCCCTATAGAACTATTTTTTTTTTAATGTAGAACTATTGCTATTGTTTGCTATTTCCTAGTTGATTATTTCTAGCTTCCATCCTTTATATAAATTCTTTTAACTTTCCCAGTGAGTTTTTCTGTACCCATCAGTGTTCTTCCACTTTTCAGTTTCAGCAGCTTTACACAAACCTAGCTCTGTCCCTGGGAGGTGAATTACCCAACTCTGTAGCCTGCAACTTTTAACTAAGGTTCATGACAAGAGTGTATTTACCTCTTGTGGGGAGGGTTTGTCATGAACAGCATTTCCAACTGGGGTTCAGGACCCTACTTCCACACAATGGGGGCTGCTAGCCTGCAAATCTTCACAAATGAACACACAAATGTTCACAAATGAACACACACACCACCCTCCTGAGGAGTTCCTGATTGCTATGTCTGTTGTGCAGTGTGGCATGTTCTTTGAACCTTCAGTCTTTTGCTTTCTAGTTGGATGGGCTGCCTTTCTTAATTCATCCTGTCAGTCCTAGCTAATTGGCTGCCCCTTGTTTCCTTGTAGCTCAGATATACCATGAAAGCAATTTTTTTCTTTTTTCTTTTTTTCCTAGCAGTTCTTTTGCAGGCAAAAAAATCTGTATCTGCTAGATTCAGTTTCCACAAAACATTGTGACTTCTCATGGCAGAATTTGGGCTGAAGAATCTCAAGCAGACCTCTCCACAAAACCTGATGTGTTTGATACATTCTTGGCATTGAAAGTGTCTCCAGTAATCTGCCTTTTACCTAGATGGGCACCTCAGCCAGTGTCTCTCCTGTGTCCACTCTTCAGTATGTTGTGGTGCTGATCAACTTATTTCTGAAACTCTTCTGATTGCATAAGCCATGTGGTTCTGAGTATAACTACCTGATGGGAGGCAACAGCTCCTGGATGTGTTGAATAATGGTTATTGCTTGCATTTGAGTACATTTGTATTGAGGGTCACCCTACTGGCAGCAAACTAAGCATGGAAGAGGGATTACTTTGAGAGTCCCAACATGTTACTTAATTAAATAGATTAATTTACTATAGCCTCAGTAGCAAAGAATTTTCACTACGGTCAACAGCAGCATATTGGGGAAACTGATCATGTTGTTGCAATAGAAGAACAAATATCCTGCCATGTTACATGGGTTAAGGTAGGCTGTTTCTGCCCATGTATCGGAGTATATCAGGGAGCTAGTTAAGGCAAAATGTACTCTGCTGCTGATACTCTAGTTACAGTGAGAAGCTCTGCATGTTTAAATTAGCTGTGATTGCAATTTAAAGGATGTTGCCAATTATGGCATGCTGGCTAAAATGTGTTAGAAAGATTGAGCAGAGCCTTGTGTCCTTTCAGAATGAAATATTTGTAATCCACCTGTTTAATGAGAACAATTACCTCAAAATCAGAGTCAAATGCAGCAACATGAAAAAATCCAGCAAACAAGTTAAAAAGTAAAGTCCAGCTAGATGAGTAGATGGGCAGAGTTCATGATTTATTTACTTTAATAGATTTGCAAAGCTGAGTCCTGTGCAGCTGTTTGAAAGCAAAGCACTTGGATAATAGACATGGGTACGATTTCTGTTGTGTCTGTCCCAGGAAAGCCTTTGGTTTTGTACTGCAAAGAGTCTTTAATAACACTTAATGAAGTGTTTAGCCTTTTGGCTTTTGAAAACAAATTATTCCCTTTTTGATATCTATCTGATTGTGATGCAACCTCATGATTTAGCTTGAAGTTAGTATTTGTTATTTGATATCTATTCCTTTCACAACCATGCAGCTAGGACTGGCAGTGGATTTGTACAGCTGAACTATATATTGTTAATGCAACATAATGCTCATCAACCGCATCTCTTGGTGCATTATCCAATGTGCCTGTATGATGATACTGTTGATTTTGATTGCTTCTTGTACACAGATGCCCTTTTAGAATGTGCTTGAACTCCTGATAAATTTCCAAGTATTTATAATTGACAGCCTCTTTGCAAATACCCATATCAGGGAATATGAGCCAACATTACTATAATTATATTTGGTCATTCACACAGCCATCACATTTGAATATAATGAGGAAAACTGATTGTGATAAAGCGCAAGCATTAATTGAAGCAAATGGCAAAAAGATGTTTTCACAGTGAATGCATTGGTATCTAAGTAGTTTCCCAGCATTTTAATATCAAAAATATGTCGCGGTCTGCCAGCTCACTTGGTAATCTTGGATAATACCAGAGAAGCTGCACATTGCTACTCAGCACACTTTTTGGTTTTTTTTCTGCATTTTAGAAGCAATTACTTGCTGCCTTTCACAACCTTAGCAACAAGTGTCAGGGCAACTGTGATTTTTGTCAAGGGAAAGTGCTGTCCTGTAATTCCAAGGAACACATGGGGAAACCACCCATGATAAGTGTTTTACTGGGCCTGGAGTATGAACCCGTTTACAGCCCAGCTTAAAAAGATCTGCCTGCCCTGTAGGATTGCTGTGTAGACTAGGATGTTTACTCAGACTGCTGTTGGCATTTACACAGTTAAAAGCTGAAGATGAACTTTATTTCATGGGGTTTTCACTGATTTTTTTGCAGTCCCCTAGATACACATTGTGCCATGGCACAGCAGTGTCTGAAACACAAAACTGTAAAAAAGCAAAGCAAGGCTATAAAATCCAACTCCATTTGCATTACAATTCTGAATTGGTTAAAAATAAAACACTAAGTAGTTACAAAGAAGAGCTACTGAGAATCCATTCAAGATTCTGTAAGTAACATAGTTTGTATCTTATGGAAAGTCACATGCAGTTCAATTAATCAGCGTTTCATTTTCCATTATATTGTTGGCATGACAAAGCAGGGAAGTGTTCCTGGAGTTGATACTCTGACTGTCTTACCCGTGTCTAGAAGCTGGTTCATATTGACCAGGGGAGTGTTTTAGATAGTATTTCCATCATGCTATCGCCCAGTCAGATTCCTTGGCAGACTGCCAAATCTGATATATTTTGGGCCTGCAGGTTTTTGCTTTCTCCTTGGGCTGTGCACAGTTTGTCTTCTTTGCTTTTTAAGTGGAAAATACTTTGTTGAGGGTTTTTTGTTTGTTTGTTTTTTGGTGTGTTTTTTTTTTTTCCCAGAGAGCTTGAGGATATTTCTTTCTCACATTTTTCTGTATTAGTGTGTAATTTTCCTTTTGCGAAAGGAAGTGTTGCTTGGAGAGTTCCCAGAAGTTATGGCTAAGATTTAAATTCTTTATTGTTGTTTTTCCTGTTGTGGGAAGTTTCAAATGGTATTTACTGGGAGGGAAGGAAAAGAATGAAGGAAATCTGATCATATTTGGGGGAGGGTTTCTCCATGAGGAAATAAATTGTTCTCTGTTCAAGCATCCCACCAGGTCCTAATTGACAGTGTAGGTAATTACATGTCATGCTAAGGAAGCTTAATCATGCTCTTCTTTGAAAAACTGTTTCTAATCCCTAACATTATTAAGGTGCAACATAATTTCTCAATACCAATAGCTGTTTTTTCTCTAAGGTGACCAAATGAGCAACTTTTTATGTTTCTGTCTGCCTTGTGTAGATGTGTCATGATACTATAGTGTTGTAGGGGATGAAAATTAGGTACAGTACCTCTTCTTTCCTTAAAATGTGTCCCCAGTTGCGGTTTTCAAACTTCAGCTTTTATGTCTTATGTGTGATTATTAAGAGAAAATCCAGTGGCTAAACTCACACATAGTTAGAAAATGCCTTGAGGTATAGAATTGTATTTGGATTTCCAAAAAGCGCAAATGAGATCTCTCACTGAAAGCTTTTAGAAGGGATAAAAGTGAAAGGATAGAAAGAAAACATGACTTGTAGATTGATAAAAGACAGAAAAGGAATAAAGAGTTAATTTTCACTGAGCAGGGACACTTACTAGCATGTCCCAAAGAAATCTCATCCCCTACTCAGGAAAGGGTAGCAGTAGAGAAGAAGCATTTGCTGAATATGACATTATTTGCAATAGTAAAAATTAAACCAACTATGAGAAGGTGTACTGGGATCTCAAAATAACAAGTGGCTAAGGGATCAAGTGATAAATTAAGCCCAGGGTTGATAATTGCAAAGCACTGGGCATTTGGAGAAACCAGTCTTAATCTGTACAAAATAGCTCAGCACTGAGCTAGTGCTTCTTGCTTTGGATAATTCTGTGACTGTATCAGTCTGGCGCTCAATGTCTTCATCTTGACTGTTAGATACAGTTCTGCCACCTCTCCCCTCTTAGGAGCCCAGCAAAGCTTGTTGCATTTTTGAAGCTGTTCCATACAAGGAAGGACAAGGTAAACAAGAAGTCTTCATCTGGGAGAAAAGATAACTGAACTAGTGAAGTCTGCAAAACAGTAAGTAGAAAACAGACGGTGAGTAGGGAAGGATTAGTAAATGTTTCTCCCAGTGGGGAGAATATTTGGAAGTGGATTTAAAACAAAAAGGAAATAGTCTTTTTCTTCAGTCCTATAATTAATCTGTGTGACTTGCTGCTCAAAAATGTTGTGGATAAGAAAAGTTTAGCTGGATTAAATACAGTATTATAAAGGCAGGTTCATGAAAGAAAATACTGGAAGAGGCTGTAAAATATGAAGATACAACATTCTGTTCGGGTAGTTTGAAGGGTTTGCGAGACAAAAGATCAAATAAGCTTGCTGTGGATTTATATTCTTCCCCTAAACTGTCACTGTCAGAGACAATGTGCTGTATGGACCTTTGGTCTGACCAAGGACAGCAGAGTCATGTCGTCAGTAAAACATCAATATGTTACAGCAGTGGCTGAAAACCTCCAAACTCTACTGCTGTATACAGATTAAAATAGGAATTGTAAGTGTGCTATAGCCATTCATATAACTGTAGAATCTGGCTAAGTAGCCCACAAGAGAAGCAGTGCCATATTTCTTTTTTAATTTTAGGGTATAAAATTATTGCATTCCCTTTCTGTGAAGACCAGTGGTCTGTGAACCTGGTTACAGTTTAGGCTCCCCAGGAGACCTGGAGTTTGAAGGCCTTCCCTATAGAATAACTATACTCTTTCTGTCTTACATCTAGAGAATATTCTGGCTATGGAAATCTGGATGACCTGTATTTGGCAGTCTGTGCAACATGGTTAAACAGCTGATGCCCTCACTCAAGCTCCTCCATATCTGTTTGGAACTGTGGTGCTCGAGCAGAGATGCTGCTGTCTATAATGGAAATGGAAAGATTGTCCTTCTCCCTGTAGCACACTTTAGTTTTGTGGAAATACTGCAACCAGCTTCTGCCATTGCTTATGGTCTTTTCTTTCACAAACACTGTAGCAGATTGCAGTGCTCTATGAGGACAGAGATAATTGATTTCCCAGGAAGGCAATGAGGTATGCAAAACTGATGTGTTTCCATGGCCCCTGTTACTGAGCAGATGGGCTGCTGCTTCTCATACTAATTGGACTCTTTCAGTCAACTATGGCTTTGTTCCCAAGTATTAATCTGGAACTCTCAAAGAGATAGTTTACCATGACCAGGTGGTCTAGGCAAGCATGGCTATTGAGGTGTTGAGTGGATTTTTTGTTTGTACATATCTTCCTGTTTTGACATCCAGTACTCCAGCTGGAGTGCAAAACTACAACTCATCCTGATCATCTTGCAGGTGTCCTAGACAGATGGAGATGTCACGGAACTGGTTTTGAAGCACTCCTTCGTATCTAACTACCATCACTACTACCTTTTCAGTGTTATGATACAGTAGCTGGGCTCCTGCCAGCACAGCCAGCCAGAGAGGTCTCAGGGAGAGCCAGGAGAGAGCATAGGCTGTAATGAAGAGAGAACAAACACCTAAGTTTTGAGCAAATGCTCTTCTGTTTGCCTGGAAGTCTGCTATCATGCCCCTCCCACCCAATAAGGAAGCAAATATTCCAGTTTTGTAGAAAAAGTTACTAACAGACAAATGAGTAAGTTCAAGCCATTGACCAGGTATTGCTGCGTATCAAACCATCTCTGTTAGGCACTGGTCTATCTTGGAAAGGGTATGAAGAATTCTGTTACACTGTATAAAAAAAATATCTTAACTCTAATAAGAGCTTAGCTAATAGGCAAGGGGCTGCTCTTCTACCTCTGCTTTAAAACACATCATCTGTAATGCCTTCTGGTATGTAATGATTTCCATGCCATCAGTCTGTTAAACTTCATAAATAGTCTGAAATACTTTGGGAATTTTTCCAAATCTGTTTTTAGCACAAAAAAAAATGTCATTCAACCTGTTGAAACTATTTTTTTTTTTTTTAGGATCAAGTATTTCTTTAAGAGTTTGCAGGGAACAAAGCTTCTGACATGGAATTTAAGGGCTATATGAGAGTTGGATGCAGATGACCTTTCTCTGCGCTACTTAAGAACAGAGGAGTTAGTGTGAGAGCATCCTTCAAGGAAGCAGAGGATTGAAATCTGTCATCTGAATTAGTCAGAAGAATGTCCTTGGTCCTTGTCTCCAACATCCCAGATACCGCCCTAGGTGTTATATGTTATTCTTTGTTGTTGTGGCTTTTGCACAAACACTGAAATCTTCATGGAGGAAGCAAATGAGACAGTTGTGTGCTAGTGGAGACATAGGAAAGTGGGAGAGTCCCTTGTTAATACCTAGCTAATAATAAAGTGTAGGACTGCACTAGCAGAAGGTGGCTGATACCTACTCTGGGAATGAACAGTTATTTCCTAATAGGGCATCACATAAATGTAGAATAGAGAAGTGGTGATGCTAGGACTTGAACTGCCGCCACCTTCACTGTGAGAACGAGACCGCTACATTTATACATATACTTCTTCATCTTATTGTCTTCTGGAGGGAGACTTTTTAAAAACTTACTTACTCTTTACAGGGCAGGAGAAAAACTCTATCAATTTTTCTGCCTCACATGTTAAATTGCAGTTATATTCCAGTAGAGAAATCGCCTCATCAACCTATGTTTAAAATTCTAGTTCTACCTTGTATTGAGTATGGCTATTATAATATCCTTTCTTTCTTCTCTCACAGGCAGCAGGAGGTTTTTACATTCCATTTCACTACAGCATCCTGGAGAAAGCTGACCTCCTGACCTTATTTAAACTATGTTGGTCAGTAATACTGTAGCCATTTTGCTGTTAGAGGAAATGAGCAGCAAGCTGCATACACAGTCCATATCGTTATGGAAGAATTAGAATTGTGCCGTATCTATGCACAGTCCTGGCAACTTCTGCCGATCAATGTGCAATGACAGGACCTTTTCAGGAAACTTTATTTTATACATTCCCAAAAGATATTGCAACCATAAGAATCTGATGAGGAATCCTAATCAAACTGCCTGTGATGTGAATAACTTCAGACAGTATCCTACCTGTCAGACCCCTGGTAATTTGTCACCAAAGGAAGTTATGCAAACACAACACTACCAGCAGTGCTGGAACAATTGCAATAGGTCTTTTGACCAGAAAAGCATATTTATCTTTCATCAGTTATTAAGTTCCATTAATATAAATGAGCTTATATCTCATTACAAATAAATGAATGAAATATAGAATATTGAATAAAATGTTGTTTTCAGAGAAATAAATTAATGGACTTATATTTTGCAGGAATGCAATGAACTTTACTTGTCCTGATATAGCTTCTTCGTTTTGGAGCATGGGAGGAAAGCTGGATACTCCAGCAGACAGTGCAATTTTGGTTAAAATGTGCAGTAGTGATGATCATAAACAGGGATGTTGCCTCATGGTTACAACAGGATCAGATTTTTCTGTGCTTCCAACGCTCCAAATATGCCTAAGAAGCTTTTTATTTTTTATTTTTCTTCAAAATCAGTAAAAGTAAATATGCTACCCCTCTTTGCTCGTTTCCCTTTCTCCTCTTTTCTGTTTCATTGTCTTCACTGCAATTTGAATTGTTTTTCTGCCTAGACAGAAAAATTAGAGTTTTTGTCTAGACAGGAGATCTTTACTCTTTCTGAAGACAGTTATTTAAAGCACAGTGTTAGAACAACATTTATCAACGTTATTCTCACTACACACCCTGTCTAGGCACAATCAAAACTCTTGTTCCTCACCCTTCACTAAGAACCAGAGTAAAATATGGTCCTTATCCATGAGTGCTTACAGTCTGATGTAAAATGTTGCTCACAGGAATGTTGTAGAATGCATCTTTCTCTCTACAGGCTTAGGCTGCTGCCACTGTGCATAGACATGTCTTCAAAGGCTCCTGATTTAAATTCTCCACAGTGCCTGCAAGCTGAGAACTGTGGCTTGGATGCATGGAAAACCACACTGATACAGTGAGTGCCACTCTGATTCTGATCACTCTCTCATGATAACTCATTCAAATACTTAAAACAGAACCACAACCATTGCAAAATTATATTTTGTGACTGGTTTATAAAATAGGTCCATCTTTTTGGAACATCTTCATTATATGGATGATTTTGTTTCAAGGAAGCTAAGTGAGATGGATGGATATAGTCAGATGAAAGTCTGTTGAATTTTATAGTGTTGAATTTTTCTGTTTACTTGAAAACAAACAAACTGCTCTTAATTATTGTTTTCTTAATGAGGGTAATGCAAGCAAAGTGGTTTAGATATACAGCATATCAAAGCAGCTGTTGAGAAAGCTCTGATGTGTAATAGCATGAGAAGACAGGATGGCAAACAAAGATGTTAGTTTTTCAACAGCATGAAAATTATTGTGGAGATAAGGCACGCAATGAGAATCTTGCTTGTAAGCTACACTGTGGGTTATTTTACATGCTGTGCAACTTCCTGAAGTCACTAGGATTTTATGGGATGTAAATTAGATAAAATACCACCTCCTGATCTTGTTGAGAAAGGTTAGTTGGGTTAGAGATTTGAAGGCTTTTGGTGTACTTGGTGAGAACAGCAACAGGAAAAAGGGGGCTGATAGCCTCAAGTGGAGGTAGAGATGGTTTGAAGGTGCAAAGGGATGCTGAGTTAGTAGGATAGAAATAATACAGTACAAAAAGCTCAGTGTTGAGACCCTTTTCCAGTGGCTGGAGGAAGGCAAATGAGGCATTCATAAAGTCAAGACTCATTAGAGTAGTAGCCAGAAACATAAGATGAGGTTACAATTTACTGATAGTTATTTGGAGTAATAAAGTGTCTACTGATAAACCAGAAAATATTTTAGCATTTTTTTAATAGGTGTGTGATGAAGACAAGTAGAAGGGTTAACACATTTAGGCCAAATCTTCACCTGTTGTAGATTTAATTGAGATCTGTCACTGATTCCAAGTTAGTTGTGCAGATTTATGCCAGTGCAGGTTTGGGACTTGGCCTTTTCTCTGTATGTTTTTCTCAAATAAACAGAATTTAGTTAGAAAACAGACATGAAAGGTAAATCAGAAAAACAGACCAGAATATTAATGCCCTTGTAAGAATGATTTCTATTTTGCCTCTTAGAGAAATTATGGAGAAAAATGTAGCAAATTACAAAAGTAAAGTAATTACTATACTAATAAAAAACAACTACCCCAAAACCTGTAGTTAGATACCTGTTGAAAATCAAAGGTGTTGTGGAGCTGTATCTGAAGCAGTGAAAACTACTATGTAAACATAAGTGTAAATCTTAAGGCCAGTATAGGATGACAGTTTAGTCAATAGGAGGTGAAAAATCAAAATGAAAGTGCTGTGAACATCACAGTGAGGCAAAATTATAATGTACATTTATTTAGCACTCAACATTTCCAATTATATGATCATTAAATAATGTGGAAAGTTGCATTGATCTTAGATGCATGGAAAGAAATAAAGGACGTGCCATATTTCTTGAAACTCAGTAGCTATAAGCAAGCTGATATTAGGCTGGTGGCCTACATTAGAGAGACACTGTGACTAAGGAATTATGGGTAACTTAAAATAAGTAAAAGGGAATAAGTGCTTTCTATCTGGGTTTAATAAAAGATATACATAGAGGTTAGATTAAGCAGCCCTTGGAAAACAAAGTAATTGGTCTTTGAGGATGAAATGGTATAAACTGGAGTGTTTAAGAGAACAAATTGGCAAACAACAGATTATGTCTTTCTGAAGGAAAAAATTAACTGTGCTATTAAAAAATGTTTTAAGGAAATGCACTGGTAAAGAGCAGCCATCGTTCTAGGATGTCCAGGGTGTTGCATACCAGCTCCTTCCTTCCAGAGACCCCCATGACAGCCCCAGCACTTTCCTGCCCTGTGACAGGGTGGGAGAGCTGTGTGACCCAGGGCAGGCTTGCCAGCCAGGCAGCCGGCAGGCAGAGGTGGGTCGAAGCTTAGGCTTATCCTCAGCAATTATGGAAGAGCATCTGAAAGCCATGGGTCAAAAAGGACACCTTCTGCAGACCATATTATGCCTTATGTGCTCACATACTGACTTGATTGTGGGGAAAAAAGAAGAAAAATCTGAAAAAATGGTGATGGTCTGTCCAGATAATTAGAGATGTGACTGATCTCCGTAGGGCTAATTCTTTCTAAAAAGTATGTCTAGAGGGTTTCCTGCATACATTCAGGCAGTTCATTCACTCTCAAACCTGAGCAATAAATCAGGGTAAACTCATAGTAACTGACAGCTCTTAGGTGCAACTTACTTTCTGACATTGCCTGTTGATCAGTACAGGAACAGGAACTAAGCAGGCAGCATGCATGACCCAAGCTCATAGAAAAGGAGTTTGGGGGTAAATTTGTCCATTCACAGCCTTAGACAAATTTATTTTTGTAGTTGCCGTATGTGAGGGCTTTTCATAATTGACATCTGTGAAATGACAGACAATTCAGGCAAAAATGTGCACAGTTGCAAATATTAGAAAATAAAGCCATTATAAAAATTCATAAGAGCTTTATGCAAATATTCCATCTACAATGGAAGGGCCAGATTCTAATATCATGCAAGATGCACAGTAACAGATTTTTCTTAGGTATGCTGGGGTGCCCACACTGCGTCTGAGATTAAAATCTGCCTCAGAAATGGATTATTGGGCTATGAAAGAGCCAATGATGAGGAAAATAAAATTCTACTGAGCTTTTCTTTCTCACCCTTTCTACTTGAGTTTTGGCTTTCAGCATAGTTCTTGATCTTTGTGATTTACTAGAAAAATGGGCAATAAAAATAGTGGCAAAATGTAAAAAATCTTTATCCTCTTTAAGAAATCCACATCATCAAATTAGGACAAAGAAGTGAACTCTATGTCCAGTTGCTCAGAGCAACTAGCAAATTATGTCTGTGTGACAAATTACCTGAAGCTAACAGCAGAGACTCCATTACCAGGGGGATTCCCCAGATTCTATTGGTAGCAGTATAGTCCTGGTTTCATGGTGGTTGCATGCAGGTTGATGTACTCTGCAAATCTTACAATTAGCAGCAATATCTTAATTTATTTAAATCCCAAACTTTTTTCTCTTCATTTTCACCTGTATCCACACACTGTCATTAGTTCTTGTCTCTTAGAGGAGGAGGTAAATGAGATTTGGATACAACCCATAATTATTCAGGGAAAATCACCCTGTGGCATTGATTTATATGCAAAATCTTGCCCTGCAGCAGCTTGACAGCTACACAAGGCTAGAAAGGCAAAGGCTACAGACCTTCGCTCCTTAAATGATGTATTTATGGCCCCTGTCTCTTGTCTTCAATTCACAGTGACCCAGGTTTAGTAAAAGAAGTTGGTATGGCTACCCCATTCTCATCTCCAGAGCAACCCAGCACTTGCCAGGTAGCAAACTCTCCTTGGATATTGGAGATTTGATTTTCTAATGTCATGGAAAGATCAGTGATGCAGTGAACCTAGCTCCCAC